GTTCTATATTTAGAAGATGCATACCTACTACTTCTCCAAGAGCCATGTTTCCATAGATTCTACATGCTCCAAGAAGAGAACCCCAAAGTGATGGGCTAGGCTTTATATTCATTTCACTTATCAAAGAATAAGCTAGTTCTAACTGCCCACCACGTGCAAAGAGATCTACAATGCAAGAACAATGCTCAGCTCTAGGTGAAATATTGTATTTGCTAACCATGGTATTGAATATCTTCCATCCTTCGCCAATCAATCCAGTATGGCTACAACCAAAAAGGAGGGATAAGAATGTGACGTTATTTGGTTTCACGCCGTGACATTCCATCTTCTTATATAGTGCAATTGCTTTATCAGCATATCCATGCTTCCCATATCCTGCAATCAATGATGTCCAAGAAATCACATTTCTCTCTCCCATCTCATTAAAAGCAAGGGTAGCATCTTCAACTTCTCCAGATTTGGCATACATATCAATGAGAGCATTTCCCGTTGCCACATCATAACTAGGTTGACATTTTAAAGTAAAAGCATGTATTTGTCTCCCAACACTTAAAGATGCAGCATTGGCACATATATTAAGCATGGAGCATAATATAACATCATCTAATCTCATCTGCATTAACTTTACTTCTTTGAAAAGATCAAATGCATCCTTTGTGTATCTGCCAAAACGTGCAAATGCAGCTATCAAAGCAGTGCAAGAAATTATATCCTTTTCTATCATTATCTTGTATAATTGATAAGCGCTCTTGATGCTTCCACATTTTGCGTAAGCATCAATGAGGGATCCAGCTAGCATGCTATGTGCTCCAAAACCTAGTTTGATGATCAATCCATGTACTTGACTAACCTTCGTGAGACCACTACCTCCAATAGAGGCCCTCAAAGCACTACTCAAAGTGAAGGAATCCAGAGACTCCCCTGTTGAAACAAAGCATTTCAATAATGGCATATGAAACATTAATAAACCATATTTGTGTGTTAAGGAAGGTAGAAATACAAATAGAGTTTCATGCAGAGAATCATTTCCCAACCAATCACCCCCTTAAAAAGGGGGAAAGCAGAATTAAAAGAGAGAGGCTTAATTTTAAACCAAATCTGGAACAGGATTGAATTAGTATCATAAATTTTTTCAAATTTATCCTAATGTTGAAATACTTTCAGGAGAAGTAATAAGATTGAGTGAAAAATACATAGATGGGCAAGTTCATAGTCTTCTAAGCAATGTTTGTCAGTTGGCAGCATCAAGCCAATAGTTGATTCTCATAATTGTCAATATAGACGGCTATTATCCAAAAGTTTTAAGTATTTTTTATATTAAAGTATCAAACAAGGGACTGACATATTTATATTTATCAAACAAATGCTTTAAACACCCGTTACAATATGGGAAGAATTTTTGAAGCCTCTCATAATAACAAACTGAACAACCAAATACAATAATTAGCATAAGAACTTGACATCGAAAGTACTTCTTAACTTTGTACCAAAAATAAAAGAAATTAAATATTGTTCATGTCAGTCTTTGTTTAATTTTTCTTCTTAGGTGGTCAATCTTTTGTTTGTTTGTTTTTTTCTGAAAGAAATGTTTGTTTGTATCCTTTAACATAATAACTATGAGCCCATGACAAACATAGAACCTCAAACAAATTAGAAAGTTACAACTTCACCTGAGGATTAACATATTCATCGTTGACTTTTAACTCTTGTGCAGATGATGGTTGATTTTCCAACTACCCCACTTCATTGCCCCATTTATTCTTCATCCCCAACAACCTTCTTTCCCATTCTTTTCTCCTATAAAAGCAGTCTGACTCTGTGAGAAATAGTTTGTAGTGAACGGCAGAAAGAGACGAGGGGTTGAAGAGTGAGTCATTGAGATTCATATAAGATTGATCTTTTTCCCTATTCTTTCCAATCTAGTTTCAAGAGATAATAAGAGATTTTGGCAGTGTTTACACATCTTTTTGTTGTAGATTCGAATATTGTCAGTGTTCCCATTGATGTAG